AATTGCTGCATCTTTTAGGCGCATCAATATTACATAGTTACATCCCGAGCTAATAAAAGGGTGGTAATAATAATAAAAACAGTTTTCTCGCTCCCTCTTGACACAATCGGCTCCCTTAGCAAGGCACTGTGTGTGGCATGATACAATAATTTTTAGAAGGTAGTTTCTCTTCTTCTTCTTATCCGCCATGTTAGCTATCTGACAGAAAACGTGTTTCGTATTTTTTGTTGTACCAAATTTTTCAAAAAAAAAATCCACCTTTCGACGTTGGAAAAATAAATAATAATTTTCGAATATTTTTAAATATTTTTCTTCATAAAAAGTTAACTGCTGCTTTCGTGGATATTGCAACACATGGAATAGGTGTAAGGATGCAGCTAAAAGAGCACCGCATACCACAGAGTTTATCGGCCGCCTATTTAAATAATAGGGCTTGCTTGAAATATGTACATGAAGATGTATGGAGGTGCGCACACTACACCAGCTTAATCGCTCCGACCAATAAGTTGTGGTGCAATGGAAAGACTAGCGAGCACATCTAAATCGGCGGCCGATAAAGTCCGTGGTGTGCGATAGATCTAATCCATTATAAACAAGAAATATTGCCGTTATATTTTCATTTTTATGGGGGAAACTTTCCATTATGGCCGTTCGTTAAAGGTGCGGTGGGCGAAGGGGGAGTGGGCGTGGCACCTCCAACCGACCTTTTTGGAGAGGGCATGAGCCGCCATTGACAAAAAGGCAACCCCCGACCACCTAGGCCCCCTATGGTTCCCTACGGACCCCTTAGAAAAATGGCCAAAAACCGCAATTTTTACGTACGTATATTTATATTTAAAATTAAGTGATCAGTTATGAAACGTATAAATCTTTACATGTTCTGTTAAAAAATATCTAAAATAACAAGCGATAATCCCCAAGTTCTATATCGTAGCAGTGGCCACATTGCGTGTTTGTCACAGACACGGTTTATGTCAAAAATTTTGAAGTGAAACTACCTTCTAAAAATTATTGTATCATGGTGTGTGGTATCGTGTGTTTGTACAAAGCTTTTGTAAGGGAGTTAAGGCAGCGTCAAAACTCTAATGTCACTATTGAGGAAAACCTTTAATTATTGAATCATGAGCGATATGTACATATATTTTAAGTAGGTCATGCAAGGTGTTTTGGCTGGTCGATTTCTCATTCGACAGAACCCGTTTAATGACAGCTTTATGGTGCATTTACATGGTATGAATCTGTTCATAAGCCGTATGAATTTTCCTATAAAAGAAGCACCAACTCTATGAAGAAATGAATGAAAGCGATATATATTTAACAATGTTGACTTGTATACTAGACAATATTTTTTTTGTAAACAGCAAATAAAAAAATTTTATTTTGTGCTAGCTTCGAAGCTAGAAGCTTATTTTTTTGTTAAATGTGCTTTAAAAAGGACCTACTGCCAATAAAGCATTGTGGATTGCTATTTTTCCATATTTGTAATGCTTCCATTTAAACATCTTTGTGGAAAAACAGTTTTTTGTTCAGAATTGCTTGTTTACGAAACGTTTGGCATAAGTTGAAATCATAGGGATGCCGTTTTCTTCCGTTTCTCAGTGGATTTTATACTTGAAAAGGCACCAAAATATGTATGCAACACTTCTACATATCTTCGTTTAAAGCACAAAACCGCGCATCAAGGAAATGCAAAACCTCGTATGGGAGGTTGCCTAAATTTTAAAAACGGTTCTCTCTTTTAAACTTAATAATCTTCTCTCCTTATGTCTAAGTCGATATTTTATTATATCGATATTTTATTATAAATGGCTAAGGGCTTGATGTCAGGAGCTTCCGATGACCAAATATCTTTTTTGGCACAAATTTCAGTTCCGAGGTTTTGCAGAACCACGATACGCGCTTTTGTACTTCAAAGACAAATATGTATATCGCTTGAACAATATGTTAGTGTTTGGCCTAGCTTCTCCTCCGATATGCGGCGTGCGTGATTTTGTCACACAAAGTAAATGACAGTTTTACGCCGACTCCGAGCGGCAAATGTATTTTAATGAGAAGTTGTTTCCATGACAGAATACACTCGGAGGTTTACTATTACCAACAGAGGGGCAACCACTATTAGAAAAACTGGGCTTGAACTCAGGCTCTGCGTAATGCTCTACAGCAGCCGCCACTACTTTTACATATATTGCTGGTATATTCAAAATACTATCCCGAACTTCGGAGTGTATATATGTAATATAAAAAAGAATGAGAGGTACTATAAGAAAATGTACCCAAAATTCT